GATTTTTTTAAATTCTACACTAGTACGAGTTTCTTTTTTTACACATTGTGATGAATTAGAAACGACGACTACGACAAACTCGAATTTGAACGTGCCGCCATGTTGGGTCTGCAGTGTGACCTTTAACATGTTGACCTCATTATGTACGTATATCCGCGCCCACCTAATTATAATATGTGCATTCATGAATATTTAATAGCAATGATTTTCCTGCAGAATAAACCAGTCGGGATGATTTCGCGCTAACACACCTTCATTTCACGATTTTTTTATATTTTATTTAAACTACAAAAACAAATTATTCGCCCCGACTGTGCCAGTCTAGATTAGCAGTCTAGAGTAGTATGTATACAGAATGTGCATAGGAAGTTTCGTTCTCAGGTTTACTGTATACGAGATCAGTACCGACGCAACGGAAACAATAAACTTGAGTCGGCGTATTTTCTTCGCGACCGTTTAGCAACACTCTGGCCGTGTGTATCCGGTGGACTGCCGCCTTTTTTTGTTGGCCATCATCAACTTGAATTAGTTCCGCGTCATATTTTTCCGACGATGTATAAATTACCGAGCGCGCGATGTTTCAAATCATGGCACATGAAGACTGCTCTGTATTTGTTTGAAATTCAATTGCTATGTTACATTTAAACAAGCACATTGTAATCCGTTCTTAGAATGTTTATATCAGTTGTTGTTTTGTGTGATTAGCGGTACAGGGGGAAAGATAAGCATTCATTTACTCAGTGGACAGAGGCGGAGTTAATTACCCATGAGCACTTAGTGCAATCCAAGGGATTGAGCGGTTCCCCTTTAGCAAATACGAACCATTTTTCATTTTACGTTGACCATTTTTCAGTGAGGTGCTGGCTGACCAAATGACTAAGTAGGTAAACACGTCTATTATTTACATTGTGTATACGGGTACTGTCCGACATTTACGACCCATGGGCTGGGCGGAGCTTAGTATTCTAATTTGATTGATTATTCAACGACAGCAACTGTCAATCGTTCATTAAATCATAGACCTTAGAAAGTCCTAATATTTTGTCTATATGTATAGTTACTGATCTGAGCTGTGTAAAGTGAAATGAACAATTCATTTCTGGTGACGAGACAGCTTGTTGGAATCCGAATTCAAGTCGGGTATACTAGTATGCACAGTTAATTTTAAAGTGACACGGTCTATGCTGCAATGTTCAATAAATATATTCACAGACTTATTTTACGTTACGTAGAATAAATCTCTGGTCTCTGAGCGATTGCTTTTTATCTCAGACAACTAATAGAACTGTAATAATTGTCTGAGATTACATGTATCTTCAAATAATATTTATGTTGATTGTCCTTGCATCATCTCAGATCCAAGTGAAACGAAACACATTCGTTCATGGATTTGACCTACATGTATTATCTTACATGTCCTCACAGGCAATAGCGGCTTTGATCGATCACCGTGTCGTAATATTTACGGGAGATGGTCAGTTTCGCGTCACATATTCACGTGTTGATGCCATTGCAAGTGATCATGTTTTTTTCTTCTTTTTCTTTTGGCTACGCTGCGCAACGACGAAAGAACATCAGCGGCGACATTTTTACATTAAAAGTGGAACTTGCTACAAAGTATCAACTAGGTTCCTAGCAATTTTGAATTTGAACTGAGGTCGTTCACAGACATCGGGCAGAGAAACTAAGAATTGTGAAACTGCTCAAAATTTCTTTCGCAGCCACAGGTTATCGTTTATTGTTTTGACAAACTCAAAAGAATTCCAAACTATACCGGTCTAGTCAAACACAAGAATGCGTAAATGTGCATTTTTATCGGATATATATCAATTTGACACGAAACGAAGTCACGGCAAAACTTGGACCACAGTGGAGGGACTGTGCTTGGACGAGCAATATCACGACAAAATGTACTCTGTCCGTACTCATTTCGCATACGAGATTGTACGTGAACGTCATGTTGTGGTGGTTCGTGCCAAATTAGATCGTAGATCACTATAAAAATAATCATCCTCGCTACGAGCCAAAAATAAAAACATATTACCAACCAGCATGGCGACAGTGAATCCCTTTCGCTAATTTTTTCAGAATTATGTTATTTAGAAAAACGCTGAACACTACGTCTACGTCCACGCCCTCGATACCAGTCACGTGGAAAGCGTCAGCAATTCGTTGAATGTTTTTCATGACATGCGCATCGCATTTCATTCCAAGCGATTCTACATTGAACACGGTTACTAGTAACCGTGATTGGAATGAGATTGTCGATCGACCACACACCAGCGTGTGGACTTTTCCTGAAGAGCGCAGTGGGCAAAGGTTGATGAATAAAAGACATATCGAGTGTATATATATCATAACTACAGGCAAAATTGTGAGGAACGGCTTATGAATGCTGTTTATCGTTGACAAGTTTATTTCAACCACCGTCTGTGTTTTCAGACAGACACTTCATATTCTGTCTGGTTTTGACAACCTCATGCCCCACGTTGCAAATAAGCTCGTGCATGTATGTTTGTTCTTTCCTGTAATTCACTCCATTGTATTCTCTAACTTAAACAACACACTCATGGCGTTTATTTCACCTCACATGCAAAGTAGGCATTTTGAAAACTATGTGGACGGAGCTTGCAGTGCCGGCAAATTCGAAACTCGACGGTTTTGAAACCCATTTTTCCGGCAAAAGTAAATGGTCTAGCTGTCAAATTCACTACTATTTTTATTTATGGCTTCCCTGAACATTCGATTTCTATACGATCCGGCCCTGGTCGGTTGCGGCCCTGGTATAAATTATAATCGATACATGTTATTAAATACACGAATGTTTGACTATCTCGATTTAACACCGTGTTTGACAGTGTAACAGATGTATGTTCATGTATTCGCCGCCTGTGCACGTGAACCGCATACATTAGAATGCACATCTAATACAATCTTAGTCAGGGTTCGAATGCACATTCGTGGTTTGTCGCGTAATGAACGTTAATACATTAAATGCACAACGAATGTATGACTATCTATCACAACTTATTTTTCGTCTTTTGTAGGAGTTCATGGAAAGAATACAGCCAATTAACAATTACATTTTAGCACAATGCAAGGGCCATACACACTTTCCGTTCGGGCATGGTGTCAAAGTACACACAATCATTGAAATTGTAATGACGAGTGTAGCAAACTTGACTTGACTCCAGCGACAAGGTGTCAAAGCTCACACGAATATTTAAATAGTAACAAGTGTAGTGAACCAGTTTCCTAATCAACATGATTAATATGCAGCAAACGCAAGGTAGAATCAAATCTGCTGTTTTCAATTGAAATCATTTGTAACATTCTGTTAATAATTTATTCACGCAATTCCCAATGGAAACACATTCAAACGAACCACAAAAATGCGGACCCTGAGCGGAACTGAAATTCTCACAGTCGGGGCTGCGTCACGATCCCCCAAACGTTGCCAGGACCAATCACAAACAGGAAAAGACAATGCATTTCCGGATTAACACCTCTGTTTTTCCCCCACGCTAACGAAAATATCTTTTGTTTTCCACTGACTTCCTGTTCCGGTTCGTCTGTCAGAATTCATTGCTCAACAACCAGAAGCACAACGTGCAAAGAAACAGTTTATTTGTTTATTTACTGACAGACCAATAAAACTATTTTGTCTGTCTACATAAACTGCTACATTATTTTCCTCTGTCGATTATCGTTCTTAATTCATTACGCGACAAACCACAAATGTGCATTCGAACACTGACTGAAACAGTGTCAATCACTCGAGCCATACGGTGTTTAGTACAAAGGCGGCTGCGAGTAAATGAACAAACATCTGTTGCTTTGTGTAAAATATATTGTTAAACCGTAAAAATGCCCTGCAAAAGACGAAAAATAAGTTGTTAAACAAGATAGTCAATCATTCGTTGTGCATTTAATATAGTAACATTAGATATGAACACGTATCGAATATAATTTATACCAGGGCCGGATCGACCAAACTGTTTTGGGGCCGGAACGTCTTTTTTTACCAGGGCCGCAACCGACCAGGGCGTAAACAAGACTCCGCATGCGCAGAACCTACTGTTTTTTGTTGTGATTACTAGTACGTGCGCTCTCTAGCACCTAAAACGTAGACCATGTCTTTCTTTGTAATACTTTTTAGAACGAGCCCACATATTTGTACGAAAGGGCATTTTGGCCAGCATCTGTGTAAACACATAGTGATAGGGCCTCATTAATACGCAATTTTTAGTTTCAATTAGTAAAACGCTTTCCAATTTGAGCGGCAAAAACCAAAAAATAATATCGCGAAACACGCTATAACGCAACAATTGTTTGACTCAATGTAACCAGAATATTTTCCAAAATGCAAACAAATACTGATATAGTATCGGACGAAACATAAAAACAGTTACAAAAATACCATGACTCTGGCGAAACAGTCTACGACAGTCAATACATCGACGCCATTTTATTTTACTCACTATACATATCATCGTTCAAAATAGAAAGAGCTTTACTACTACAACTTAAAAAAAACAATTCTATAAAAACTAAATGAAGTATACAACATTTGTTGTATATTTTTTGGGGAAAATCGGGGAAAAACAACCATCAAACAAAACACCGTTTTCACACAAGTCAGTTTTGAACTTAGCGCCATTTTGTAATTCACGTCAAAACGAGACTGCCAAAAAAAACCCTGTTTTTCCGCCAATCAAGACCCAGGGTTCTCCCCACGGTGGACGGCGCCGTCCGGCATTCAGAATTAGCGACCAGCACACATGGTCTTAGACCTGTACTATTTCAATCTGTACACTTTAATATAACCAGAGAAAATAGACGATAAGCCAACATATACATCTTGCTAGAAGGTTACAAAATCGTGACTATTCAGTGGGTATCTCCGACAGCTCAAGACTGAAAGATGTCAACAATAACACGTAAAATCATCGGTCGATTTTATTAGTCACTCTTCTCTTAAACGAAATGAAATTACTCACCTTGCCTTCAGATGTATAATAGAAGTGTTCGTGCTCAGATCGCAGACAAGTCGTGACGATGACAACGTAGAGTTGAAAGTGTACCGTTGACGCCGATGACGTCACTGTTAGTCGATTTGAGCGAAACGTGCATCGCCTAGTTGATTGAGGGCTTAACACCTGGAGACAATAGCGTTGGTGCTGAGGGATGGTGGTTACATCTAGAAAAACGTGCAAGTGTGTACTAAAGTAAATATTTGGTTTGATTTGGTGATCCCGTTCTGAGCCTCTATATAGCATGGAAGGTACTTCTTCAATCGATGTTATATCTGCCAATTTTTCATTAAAGTTCGCCAAAATCTCCGGAAACAACAGCATTCAAACTAGACGCCATTTTGAGTATTGTACATGCGAGGTTCGACTATCGTTTCCGAACATGCTCCGAATATTACCGAATGCTCGAGATTAGCATAACCCATTGTACAAAGGTGCTAAAAGCTAACAAGAACAATGTTTGTGAACAAACGATCATGGGGTAAAGCTAAAACAAAAGCGTTGTGGCTCCTTCCGTTAGTACCTTCCATGACATGAGCTACGTATACATCCCGTAACGACAAAACTAATAACGCAATAAATAAGGGACGTGTTATGAAGTGATGTGGCATTGATTCCAACGATGCCACGGCGATGACCACGATGTAAGTACGCTTAGAGTGATGTCAACTGCGGTTCAACGATAAAAAATATATTCGCTGCACGGCACTCACACTTTCACTCTCATAAATGCTGCTACTGATACATGGTAATAGTAAAGATAAAATAAATTTGAGAAAAATGTGTAAAACATGGCGACACATCGAAACGTTAAGTTGAGTTCATCGTCTGTTATGTGAATTCGCGTCTGCGATTGAACAACCACTTGATGCGTTGGTGAGATTCCAAGCTAACTTGATACGTTGCATAGTTTTATTTTTTCTATGGATTATTGTTTGCATATGGGTTCGAAATCGATCATTTTCGATGAGAAAATATTGAGACACCCCGGTAACGGCGAGTAAAATGGAAAGAGACATTTATAGCGACGAGGACACGTGGACATCAGTAAATATAAACCTAGCAGTAGTGTACAGTTGTACGTGAAATAGCGAAAATATTGTTAAGTACAGACATTTATTAAAGCCTGTATTTTTGGTAAATACAGGTAGATACAGGGTGATACACATGAAAACAGGAAACGGAAATACATTTCCTGTATTCATACCTTTATTCACCTGTAATTGCACTCTTGTAAATACATGGTGATTACATTGTGAATACAGGTAAATACTTACTATAAATACATTGTTTATTTCTGATGTATTTACCATTTATTTCTACGGTGTGTATTTACTTGTATTAGCCAAATACAAGTAAATACATATGCATCTAATTAAATATACTGAACATACTGGCACATAATTCTACTGGTGAGGGGATTTGATTTGATTTGACAGACCGGTGGGTTTACACGGGGGGGGGGGGTGCAGATACATCGTCGACATATGGAATTGATCTTAACGAGGCTATCTGTTTCTGTACATGCTGAGAAATTTGAAGACATGTTTTGAACTATACTGAAAAACCATAAGTACACATCTCACCTCGGGTATTTATATGTTGTTACCGGTATGACCCCTTGGGTATACCAAGAAATAACAATTTCCTTATTCAAAACGACACAACACCCCCAATTCAAACTCGCCCATGCAATGCATTATTGCTTGATAACAAAGTACAAATTTGACAGGTTATTATTTACTCCTGGGCAATTCCTAATTTTCGAGTTGTTAGTTTTCTACGGAATTCCGCTAGAGGGCGCATCCAAAATACCCGGATGACGAGCCTGAGTTGGGTTGTTTTTATTGAAGTTCTGTATTCTTACATGCGTAAATCAATAGAATGGAAAAGCAACAAGTTCCAGAACTCCGCAAATTTCTTCGGGATCGTGGTATAACTTGCAGCAATATTAATGTTCGTAAAGCTAAACTTTTTGAACTTGTTGAGTTAGCAAACGAGTTAAATGTTCGCCAAAAGTAAAAAAATCGTCGTCGTGAGTCGACGATAACTCTGGTAGATCGTGTAACGTAAAAACTTGGCAAAAAAACCTTCATACTTTGCCTTTGTTTGAAATAGCTGATATGTTCGCATATTTGTTGCTGCAGCATCGAAGTGACTGGACAACAGCCAGACTGAAAGAATGTCGACTTGATAATGGTCATTTACTTCATAATGTCCGTAAAGCTTCATCATGTGCAGAATACAGAATTTATTTTCATTATGACAGAGTGTATTCGGCAATGGTCCATGAAGATATCCTTACAAGCCATGGTTTATTATTAAATCAAACTCTAAAATAGTTTCTG